GCTTGTGTGATTTCATGTAAAAACCAATGCTGTACGTTTCCAAAAACACTGAGACATGGATTTTAAAAGTTTTGGTGTCAGAGAAAACTATCGAAATGCAACTGAAATGTTCTGGTAAAAACAGCGTGGAAGCTAACTGGGTCCTAAGACTTTGGCATTTTCCATCCATCCATCCATCCATCCATCCATCCATCCATCCATCCATCCATCCATCCATCCATCCATCCATCCATCATATTCTGCTTGTTCCAGAGTCAGATCTTGGGGCAGCAGCTTAAGCAGGGAAGCCTAGACCTCTCTTTCCTCAGCCAACTCTTCAGGCTCTTCAAGAGATGTAGTTTCTTCATGTCCTGAGTTCTTCCATGAGCCTCTTTCCAGTTGGGCATACCAGGAGGCATCCTTAGCAGACATACCACCTCAACTGGCTCCTCTGAATGTGGAGGCGCAACGTCTCTCCCAGTCTCTAAGGATGAGTCCAACTACCATTAGACAAAACTCATTTCGATCGCCTGTATCTGTTTTTTTATGGTCACTACCCAAAGTTCATGGCCATAGATGAGTAAACAAACATAGACTGATCAGTAAACACTTACAGCTCAGCTCCCTCTTCACCACAACAGACCGGTACAGAGTCATGCTCCATTCTTCCCTCATTGGTGAACAAAACCCCTGGCCTTTTAAAATCTCTAGGACTTACTGAGTATTTGCATGGTTCTTCTTTATTATACTCAAGGGGGAAAAAAGTCTAACTTTACCTTTTGTCTCTTGGTGTCACCTGATCTCCTGCTTAACTACTACCAGAAATTTTCGGGAAAAGCCAGGCAAGCCTTGGCACGCTCCTGTTGTTGCTCTTGAATAAAACCACAGGCCCACAATCCTCGTCTGTTTGGTCTGTTTGTATGCTTGACCGTGGCAGGTAAACACTTCACCTTCTCTTTGTCTTTTCTCCTCATCCTCTTCTTTTTTTTTTCTGTTGCGCACCAGCAGGCTGCACAGATGACAGCTATGATGGCTCTGGTCCCTGACGAGAGTGGAATTTAATGAGCACCGTGAAATCTCTCTCCAATCGGAGAAAGTGGTCTGCCTATTACCCATCAGCACTTCTCATAACTGCATCACCTCTGTCAGAGACCAAGAGAGCAGCATAAACGCAGACTTCTGTTAGGAGATTCACCTCTGGAGGCTGACCAGGAGCTCCAAGCCACTACTGTTCTCATAGAAATAAAGATTTCAAACCCATTTTTTTTTAGTCTAAGTCTAATCACGAGTGTTTCTGTCTTTGTTATACGTTTCACACAGGTTGCGTCAGCAGAGGATTGCAGTTCAGTAAGTTTGTTACAACTTTGTTGAAACGGTCGATGGGGATCCGTCTGCGATCCTTAATCGGTAAAGCCAGAGGCACGATTATACGTCCAAGCGGCTGCCACAAGAGAAGCAGAACACTAGATTCGCCACGAGACGCTCTCGTTCCACACCCACATTTTCTTGATATTTGAGTATTAATACCTCCACCCTCTTTTATGTTTGCCATCTTTTCTGTCTCAGTATTTGCTCAGGCTCTCCTCATGTGTCTCCTCTCTGGGAGGCTTCCTGCTGACAGTCTCCAAGGAGTCTTATTGATATGCTTAGAGAGGCATTGCAGACAGGAGGGAAGAGAGAGGAATGAAAGTCACACACTGCAGCAGCAGATTCACTGCCTTTTCCTTCTAGTACAATCAACAGTAAAAATCACAACTCCCTCAGCAGGGAAGTCTCGCAGCTCGTTTTGTCTGCTGCACTAATACTCACAGTAATTACTCTCTTCAACGAGGATCGCCTGTTTGCCTTTTGAACTAATGTTCAGCTCATCTTCGGGGCTTCTTTTATCGTATGTGGAGACGTATCACAGAAACATTAACTCTCCATTCTGATGTGTAAAGAATACCCTTACTCGACATTAATTGTACTGTTGCAGTCACGTATTTTAGTTGTCTGAGGTTCAGAAAGGAAGGAAATCCAATCCAATACTTGAGTCTGGTTTATATTTCTGTTTTCCCCCGAGATACAGAAGTCTTTCCCTTTTTTATGGGTTTCATCACAAATGTTTTACTCTTAGGCATTATTCAACACAGGAAATGATGTATTTTGAGTTGCGTTCGCACAGCCAAAACCAACACAAGTCTAATTAGCTTGCCAGCATATTTTCAGACAAAAAGATTAGTTTATTTTTAATAAATTAATAGGACAAAACTCTGAAAAGTTATTTTCTGTCTGTAATTTTATCCCAGTAGATTTTATTATTTTCAGCCTCCGTAATGTGTGAGCGGGAACTTTTCTGCTTCAAGACTTGTCAGTCCCATAAAACAAATCATCTGAAGATGTCACCTTTTTCCTCTGGGAAATCACAGCCGACCATATTGTCACTAGTTATTAAAATCACACGAACAAATCAGCAAGAGACTCGCAGCTACTAAAACTAAAGGGTAAATCCCGTTTTTGGCTCAACAACAGAGCTCGAGTTGCTTTTGTTGCTGCTTCGTGTCCTGTGTAAAATTATGTTTTCATACAACATGAACATAAAGTTGGCTACAGTTTTAACTGTAGCAGGTAATTAGGGGTTTCAGTTTTATCTGTGACATTTTGCAAAGTGGCACAGTTTTAGTCGGGTACGGTTGAAGAAATGGTCTCGACCATGTGTGTGTGTGTGTGTGTGTGTGTGTGTGTGTGTGTGTGTGTGTGTGTGTGTGTGTGTGTGTGTATGGTGACATTTGGGGGCAATTTTAAGACAAAATGCCTAGCTAGGGTTGGGCATAATCGTATCGTCTGCAATTAATCGTCAGAAAAACATTGCTCGATTATTTTTTGGCAGTTGATGATTAATACGATTAACGCCACCAGGCAGAGTCTACTCGGTGCTCCTCTCCGCTTCAAATATAACCAACATTAAAATAAAAGTTCTGTAATATATTTATCTATCAATACAATTTAAAATTTGATCTTAAGCCTGAAGTCTGTGGTTTTGACACAATTTGGAACCGATTTTTACGAAGAACAAATATATCCCACTAAACTGGTCATGTGACTAGGACATAAGAGTGTCCAGGGACTCCAGGGAAATAATCGTCAAATTAATCGTTATTGGCTAAATACCACAATTAATCGTGATATTTTTTTTTGCCAATATTGCCCAACCCTAATGCTTACCTTTGGGGACAACTGGTGCATTTGGGGACAAAAGTCGAGTCCCCATTTGGTTTAAATGCCATTGGTGGGTTGGGGGTTGGGTTTAGGACCAAGGTGTGAATTGAGCTTAGGTTAGTTTTAGGGTCAGGTAGGTACCTGTGAGGTTAGCCTTAGGGTCAGGTAGGTACCTGTGAGGTTAGCCTTAGGGTCAGGTAGGTACCTGTGAGGTTAGCCTTAGGGTTGGTGGTCAGGGTTAGGCTGTAGAAATGTACCAGTAATATAAGTCAATGGAATGTCCCCAAGTGGATAGCTGTGTGTGTGTGTGTGTGTGTGTGTGTGTGTGTGTGTGTGTGTGTGTGTGGGAGCAGAGGCGGCGCTGACGTGAAGCATCCTG